CAGGGAAGAGACACACATAACAATCAACCTGTAGCTTGCTCTGAACACACATGCACATCCGATGCACAGTTGATGCCAGCCCAAAACAAAGATAGAAGTGTTTCTCATGCAAACTGGGTTGGTGGTTAATCACGTGAATCGTACCTTTCAGAGAGGTATCCTAGCAACTCCCCACAGCAGCCACAGTCCCGGCTGACAGCACACACTGATTCAATTGTTCTCCTCCCGCAGACATCAAAACTTTGCAGCTAATCAAAGAGATAATTCGGAACAGGAGCCATGTTAGATCCAATCCAACAAAAGGGACTGTTATAAATGAGCAGTGTCACCCGGGGCATCTCTTGTGCTTCCGGTTGTCATCTCAGAACAAGAGGAGGTCAGGCTCAGAGAAACCATGCAACTCGGGGAACAAACCCTCCCCTCCTGCAGCTGCTCTGCTGAAGGTGCTCACTTCTGTGTTCATTTTTGCTGGTCTCTGCTTTGGAGCACTGTGCAGGATTTATCAGTTTTCTTGTACAGCACAGGCTCACCCAAAGCACTCTCTAGAGCACAGGCATCAGCAAAAGCCCTAATGATGCCCTTGTAGCCACCTGCCCCTGAACTAATTCCTACTCCTGACTGCCAGATCAGATATTCTTTTGCCTTTCCTGACAGTGCAGACAGGCTCTGGGCTAGCTGGATTAGACCTTCTTAGGACCAGCAACACACCTGAGGCTACCAAGCAGCCTAAGCACATCCTCTCCAAGTGTTCCTATTTTGGAAGCATTATGGATTTGCAATTCACCTCTTTCTTTAGGCATGCAAAGCAAAATCAGCAACAAAGGATTTATTAGGGTCCTGAAAAAACATTTTCGTTTTTACCCTTTAACTAGCCCAAAGATACCACAGATCTGAGAAAAACATTCAATACATTTAAGCACTTCCCAGTTCTTACCACTGTAGTGTTCTTCAGGCTTCAGTTCAGAGCTGTGAAGGGCATCCCAAGTCCTCTTCCTACAGCTTACATGTCTTCTCCTAGATTACGGAAGATCCACTACCCTCCACTGTTCATCTCCACTCTAAAGAGAAACATCTTTGTTCTTAAAACTTCCTGTTTTGTCTGCCGGGTGACCCCTGACACCTGAACACCTTCCTCATATGCTTCTCACACATTGATGTTCTGGGGGTCAAAACCAGAAGACCAGTTTTCCCAGGGCAGTAACAATCTTCCCAGATATTCCACTAGTGCAATGGAATATGTGGGAATCAAACTTTAATGATCTGTTCTTGCTGGAATGGAGGAATTTCACCCACTGCCTTTGGTGGTTCAAAAGGAAAGCAAAACCCAACAAATGTAACAGCTGTATGAGCTGAACATCCAACAGAAAGAATCTACAGCTGGACACAAACATCAAGTCATACACAAATCATCATCAAAGCATTTGTGACTTGCTTTTTTATTACAAAAGATGGATTTCTTTGCAGTCAGTCAAGTGGTATTAAACACCAAGAAATGCAACGTGCAGGCTACCCGGCAACAGTAGTTATGAAGAGGCGTCAAGAGGACTACTGGGGATATCATAAGGTCCATAGACCTTTTGAAGACCCTGCAAAAGTTGCTTCCAGTCAGTATAAAACTGCTCCTCAACAACAGAAACACTGCTTACAGAGGGCCTACAAGAAAGCTGGAGAAGGGCTTTTTACAAGGGCATGTAGTGACAGGACAAGGGAGAATGGCTTTAAACTGAAAGAGGGGAGATTCACATTAGATATTAGGAAATTCTTCCCCTTGAGGGTGGTGAGGCACTGCACAGGTTGCCCAGAGAAGCTGCGGCTGCCCCATCCCTGGCAGTGTTCAAAGCCAGGTTGGATGGGACTTTGAGCAACCTGGTCTAGTGGAAGGTGTCCCTGCCCATGGCATGGGGGTTGGAACTGGATGATGTTTCAGGTCCCTTCCAACCGAAACCATTCTGTGATTCTATGTTAGGACTCAAAGGTTCCCCCTTCCCCCAAAATAGCAGATTCCCTCTCAAAGAGCTGGCTTTATATGTTTTAAGTGTAATAGTATTACACAGTATCACAGTATCACAGTATGTTAGAGATTGGAAGGGACCTCAAAAGATCATCTAGTCCAATCCCCCTGCCGGAGCAGGAACACCTAGATAAGGTTACACAGGAACGTGTCCAGGCGGGTTTTGAATGTCTCCAAGAAGGAGATTCCACAACCTCCCTGGGCAGCCTGTTCCAGTGTTCCGTCACCCTCACTGAGAAGAAGTTTCTTCTCAGGTTTAAGTGGAACCTCTTGTGCTCCAATTTGTACCCATTACCCCTTGTCCTTTCATTGTTTGCCACTGAGAAGAGCCTGGCTCCATCCTCGTGACACTCCCCCTTTATATATTTATATACACTAATAAGGTCACCCCTTAATCTCCTCCAAACTATAGAGACCCAGCTCCCTCAGTCTTTCCTCATAAGGGAGATGCTCCACTCCCTTAATCATCTTAGTTGCCCTGCGCTGGACTCTCTCCAGCAGGTCCCTGTCCTTCTTAAACTGAGGGGCCCAGAACTGGACACAATATTCCAGATGAGGTCTCACCAGGGCAGAGTAGAGGGGAAGGAGGACCTCTCTCGACCAACTAACCACCCCCTTTCTAATACAACCCAGGATGCCATTGGCCTTCTTGGACTCCAAAACTAAACTCCAAAGTAACTCCAAAACTAAACAGTGCAGCAAGCAAAAGAAAATAAGCTGTATGGATAGACAGCAACGAGGGGAAGAGGGAAACTGTACCTGTGATACTGTTCTCAGCAGAGCAATTAATTTTCACCTTCCTGATGCAGATATACGTTTCTATTTGTGCAAGTCCCCACAGCATTTGCTTCTGGAAGAGCCTGGTAGCAGGATGTGAACATTTGTGAACATAAGAAGGGGCTGGTAATATGGAACAGATTAGAAACTATACTTGTAATTGAAACAGCAGGGCACGTCAGTTCAGCACCAAAGTTAGAATTTGCCAGATGTTAATGGGTTGGCTTGCAAAGAAACAAAACGCAACCCTCCATATGCTATATGATCCTTAATAACCGCAGCAGCTACATCGTTTCATGCCTTAGAATCCTCAACCACAGGGAAATAAAATAAACAACCTGCCCTGGCAACATCTTCAGTGCTGCCTTCTATAAGGGCAGCAGCCACCCACAGGTAGGACAAGAAAGTTAAGACAAGTAACCGGACACTCACAAACAGCCACAGTGTTTACCTGCAGCCTTCTCCTACCTCTCACACCACAGTATTCCCCCAAAGAAGTCACTGTGGAAGAGGAACACACACAGTTAAGAGTCACTGTTGCTGGTCACCATTGTCCTGATATTCTAACCATCTGCAAGCAAACCGAACGAGCTAAATTATGTAATATTATCTGTAATCCTGCCTGCAATATTATCACATCATATAGTTACTGTGACTGTTAAGCAAGCAGGTTGACACCAGTTACCAAGCACCTAGGGAGAGCAGTCTGGGTTTGGATCTGTCACTAGTTTTCTTTCTGAATGGGGGAGCAAGCAAAGTTATTGCACAATGCAGACAGCACTGTCTGCATTTCAGAAAAGCCATTGTGAGCAGAGAAATCTTGACTCAAAGCATCTTGAAATCATGAGAAGAATTGTCTGTGATTTAGTATGTTTTCAATCAGGCCCATAGGGAGCATATCAGAGGTATTGCAAAACCTGTTGTTCTAGTAAAGAACAACCTTCAGCTTATTTTCTGGAATGCCTCTGCTAAATGCTTCATTGTCTACCTTCTTAATTTGTGTACACGGCATGTCACCATCCCTCCCGTCCCCCCAAATCAGTAACATGATATAAAATGCCAGAACTTTGTGGTAAAGATGATCCACACACACAAATTTCTCTCAATTCATTTAATAAAACCATTTTGTTAAAAACTGACTTAGTAATGATTGGAATTTTACATAGAAAATTCAGAAATTACAAAAATGACATTATATAATAAATATAATCTGAACATATGAGGAGAGTCAGTCAAATTTGGTAGTACAAATTTAGACAAATTTAGCACTACAGAAAACCTATGCAGAAGGGAGATCAGCTGTTCCTGAGTTAATCGTGTTTCTGTTGATGTTGTTCTGAGAAAACATAATTATTGTGTAGAATATTCCCTTTCTACCTGAGCCCTTGCAGTAAGTACATCTCTTCTATCCATCCTGTGATGCTGCTGTTACACTTACACCTTCTCCTGACACAGTTAAAAAGCTCTCCAAATGCCTGAGAAAGAAAGTAGCAGAGGCCTAAAGAAGTAAGCCAGTGTCCTGTGAGCAGCCTACATAAAACCCTAAACACATGCTGGCTAGCCAGAGATGCCCATCTAGTAGCTGCTGCAAATGCCAGGACTGCCACATAAAAACTCGCTGCCTTTCTTAGTCAACTCATTCTGCAATGAATACTAATGCTCCCTTGAGAGAAGTACCCTTTTACTTAACATACCATCACACCATCAGCAAGCCTCAAAAATTTAAGAGAGCGATGGCACGAGACAGAGTGAGAGTGAGCAAGAAGAAAGGGGTGGGAGTGAGAGGGAGCATGAAGGGTGTAAAAGAGAGTGTGAGCAAAGGGCACAAGTGAGTGTGAACCTTTGCAAGTCCTTCCCTTCCTATGGCACCCCAACCAGCTTTCTGTCTCTGAGCCTCTGAGACCCTGGCCCGCAGCTGCACAAGCAGACAGTGCCACAAGGCAAGTGACAGTCTGGATGGAGCCCAAGTTGGGCAAGAGCATCTTCTCAGATGACTGAAGTGGCCAGCCAGTGCCTACTTCATCTACCAAAGTCCCTCAGGACACCTTTGCTGTTTTTCTGCCAGAACAGTCACTGCCACATCTCCGTGGTCTGTATTTGGACATCATATTTTAGAAGAAATTTCCTGCATGGCTGTTCGTAAGTTGTTCTACCAAAGTGCATCCTTCCTCTCTATATATACCCATTTACGTAAATTATTCCTTCACAAGGCTTCACAATGTATCTGAAATGTTTTAAATCTGTACCTAATAAATATTACATGAAAATATTTTTACAGTATTTACATATGAAACATATAAAAATATGATCACTGTAAGATTATGTCTTCGATTTCATCTTCTAAAGAACCAAGGGTCTGAACTCCTGGCTTTCTTGTAGTGTGCTGCAAACGGTGTCTATTTCGGTTTCTTGCTTCACCGAAAAGCTCATCGTCTTCTTTTACTGTGACTTTACTTTTTTTATCAGCAAGAAGAGTATTACTAGAATCCCAATCTATGTCCAATGGTGTATTGTTACTTTTAGAAAGAACATTGGTACTGGCACTGCTTCCAAAGAGTTGTTCCATTAAATTGGACTTTTCCTTCTTACGATTGAAATCTGCATTTTCTGTCACTTTTTCTTCTGAGCTGACACTTTTTTGAGTAAGCCAACTCGGCCTCCCTGATCCTTTCCCAAAGGAAGGTACATAACTACCAAATGTTAGCTCACTACCTAAATCTGTGGTCTTTGGATTTCGTTGCTTCTGCCCTTGTGCTCTTGTGGCATCATCATGGCTGTTATCTGCAGGAAATCCATTTGTAGCCTTCCCAGGAATCCCAAAGAATTGATCAGCTTTTTCTTTTTTCTCCAGGAAATCAGATTTCCTTGCTGTATTTATGAGTGGTGCTTTGGAAACAGGTTTCATGTTTGTTACATTTTGAGTTTCTCTATCAATTTCTTGCATTTTAGCAAGCAGGAACTCTCTTTTTTGCCACTCTTCCAGCATTTCAGTGCTCTCTCTCTTGACTTCAGGTTTCTGGATTTCTGTCTCCACCTTTGTTTTCTCTTCTTTATCCAATAAAAAGTCACTTTCTTTTTTCATTCTGTCATGTTCTTCCTTTTCCCACTCTGCAGGAAATGTTTAAGCATTACCAAAAATGTTCTAGTTTCAAAATGCCTTCAAAAGATTATTTTGGAATAATGCAAGCAAAAGCCATTGAGCTTTGAATGTGCTCCTCTATGCATCATGTGGTTCTCCTACTGCAAAAATCAATTCTTCAAAATTTACAGCTAAATTCAAAACAGGTTCTCTGCTAAGATATAAAATTTTACAGCCATCTAACAAAGGGATTAGGACATTATCCACATTCCAGCCTTTTCAGAGGAATTTAATTTCTGCCAGTTGCCTTCCCATTTCCTGAGTTCGAATGAAAATGAAAATCAACATCAGTGATTGTAATAGTTCTGACTTGCACAGCACTTTATTTTTCTTTGTCAGCACCACGGACAAAGTGCTGGGATCTATGTTTGGGTGTTTTTCCCTACAATGGGAACTACTTCTGTGAAGCTTTCAGGCCAGAAAGTCATAGATAAATCCTTACCACTTTCAAGTAGTTAACGATTTAAACTATACTGCACCTGCTGCAATCAGAAGACAACTTTACATCAGTGTTCTTTGCATCACCATTTGAATTCAGTGAGTGTCTGTGCAAATACCAAATGTCAGTTTGCATGGCTAAAAAGGGACAAAGTTGAAAAACAGTAATAAACTTCTAGATAGAACCTGCAAATACTTATGTGTACAAAAAAAAGAGAAGCTTCTCAAATATTTCTCTCTTCAAAATATTTTTGTCAAGACAGCAGGCGTGTGTTTGGCCAAAAGCTGAATAGGGCTACTTGGCCCCTTCACCATACTGGCATACTTTGGACATTTCATCCAAATTTCTGACTGATAGTTTTCACAAGTTCCATGTTTTCTACTGTACTTCAGATCAAGCTTAGAGAAATAACAGCATCAGTTCAGTTAATATATTAAATACATGTATTTTTTTCAATAGCATATGTGAGCTGTGCACTGATGCCACTGGAGGTAGAAGATTTTTCAGAATTTCTCTCTGAAAACAGCCATAGATTTTTATAATTCTTCCTTGTCATTGAGCATAAATGTTAATTATAACCAATGAAAGTATTTTAACATGACAGGACGCAGTCCACCTAAAATACTTTAGATTAAGAGACAAATGTAAGTCATTAAGATGTTGTGAAAACCAAATGAAAAAAAATATTAAAATATAATAACAGAAATTTCTCAAATAGTCACACTAAATTAATTCACCAAAGTGAAAAGAGAAACTAAAATTGCAAATGATACAAGAAAGTAGATATGTACTGAAAAAAACAGGCCATATTAAGGAAAGCAGATTTGTTCTACTATAGTAAAAATCTACTGCCTACCTCCATAACATCTAGCAAGTCAGAGATAAAAACAGCATTTACCTGCCATGTCATCCTTGTTTTGTAAAGCAAAATCTCTCAGGCTTCAGTACTTTTTTGTGGATAGCATTTTTTGCTGCTGCATACTTAATTGCAGCTCAGTACAGGGCACACATTATTCTACATCCTGCATTTCTTTCCGATTCTCTTTGCATAATGTAACTGAAAATAATTTTCCACTGTAGTGATCTCTGCAAAATCATTTCTCTTCTCACAAGAAACTAGCAGCCTTACTTGATTAGTATTCTATGGTGTATTTTCCAGCCTCCAGTTGCCTGTTTTCCTTACCATCATGAAGTTTTTGAATCCTCTCCTCTAAAACCTGTATTTCCTGAAAACACTTCAGTTTCTCTTCTGTTTCCCTGTCCTGGTCTTGTTTGTTGAGGTCTGCTTTCTCCTTCCATCCTCTGTCTTCCGTTTCTTTTTCCTGAAATAAATGAATACAAAACTGAAACTGATGGGGGAAAATGATCAATAAAATAAATACACAAGCAAAAAACTTCCATGTCATTCTAAAATCACATTCTTACTGCTAAACATAAAAACAAGTAAGTTTTCTAAGATAAACCGGCTTTAACAACCAGAGGTTTGACCCTGTAATCTTACTACTGATAGCACAGCTTTATGCACCCAAAACAAAAGGCATAGATAATCAACTCTATCCTGTGCTCCAGATTTCAGGAAAGTTGCAGCTCCTATGTTGTAAAGCAAAATTATCACTGTGTTATAATAGTTGTCTTTAGGAGTCAGATGTTTTCTTTTTCACGAGCTTTAATAGAAGGCTAGACCCCACCACCTTATTCTTTGAATAAGCAAGCAGTTAGTTACCCTCCATTTCCATGATCTGATCATTATACTCAAATGAGTGGGTTGTAGATTTAGACAGTTTCACGGTGGTACTTGAAGTTATGGAGAGTTAATGAAAAAACAGTGAAAGAGAAAGTTTTAATCTTGGCTGAAAAATTCAGCTAGTGAGTATACACACACATGTAAACGGAAGGAAGCTGCAGAAAAGATACTAATGTCAGCATTAAAAAAACACTACTAGTAATGAAGAGAAAGCCAGCATAATCCAACATTTGGATACTAACTTTGCAGTTTGTGCCTATTTTGGAGCAAAATAAGCTTCTAGATTAAAATACACTTCTAAGAAATTTAAGAAATAGTTCCTACTTAATGAACAATGAAAACATGACTATTGGCCAAAACAACTTTTTCCCTTCAAGTACAAGGGTATAATTATTATTATAATCTTGTAAAAAAAAAACAAAAAAATCCAAAGCTTCATAAAGAAATAGTGGCCAAGTATTTAAAATACTTGACTTACAAAACAGATGAAAGCACAAGCAGCCCAGATCTAGTATACGTTAAAGCAACAGCCACACATGAACTAGAGAGGTTTACAAGATGACTCCATGACGTGCATTTGGTACCAATTGTGTAGTTGTGTAACTCACACACCAAACTATATGTTGAGAATACATACGTTAAACTGCATCCATAATTAGTGACAGGATTTTGAAAGAAAGAATATATGAAAGAAACAGCCATGAAAAAGCTTCAGTTCTATCAGGAAGCCAGTAGAACCATCATCAGAGCATTATTTCTGACTAATAGTCCTAGACTTACGCAATCAGAATTTGTATAATTTGTACCAGAATCTGTGTCATTTTGAATTGTAATACCTTACAAATCTCTCTGATTTTAGCCTGAGGTCACAGAAGTATTAGCAATACTTTTAACGGTACTATTTTATAATAAAAAGAGAAATGGAAAAACAACAACGAAAATCCAACCATATTCACAAAGCTGGAAAAATGACAGAAGAAATACCAGCACTGTGACAATAAGAGGAAGTGTTAGATTTATGCATTGTGAAATAAATCTGGAAAATAAAAGAAGCAAGAAGCCATAATTAAGACCAAAGCAAAAAGAGAGACAAGGCTGTTGTAACAGATTGCTCAAACAAGCATTAGAAATGAAGAAAAGGAGAGAAAACCAAAACAAAGTTTTTGAAACTTCAGAAAAATGCCAGTGGCAGAAAAAGAAACAAATTGAGTGCTAATGGTTACCGGCAAGACATAGATTATGATGAACTGTCACAAAAAAGGAGTATGATATTTTTGGAAGCTTAGAGCTTCTCTTCAAGAGCAGAATGCTTTCAAGGTTATATTGTCTATATATTCACGTTTGTATAATTACACATATTTTCTAAAATATAAGCTCTGCATTAACCATTCAGTTATCCAGAGTAAGTCTCAGATTCTAATGGCACTCACTATTTTAGGAAGAATCCCTTCTTTCTTGCTTACTGTGCCATCACGGGCAAGTTCCGATTCTGGAAGTAATTCTACTGGGGAGAAGTATCCACTGGTCTGTACTCCTTTTGTGAACTGTGCTCCCTTCTTAATATTTTGATTGTTGGCTGTAGAAAATACAAACTGATTAAATCACTTGTCCTACTATATACCTATCTCTCACTTGTTATGATTTGCAGCAAACATAAAAGAATGTCTTGGAGCCAATGGAAGTGGAAAATATTGACAAGTAGCACACAGTTGTTTTCAGCATCTGTAAAAGCTAATTTCAAAAATATTGCATGCATAACTTATCCTGAAAAAATAATAAAAACACCTTGAAGCTACTTCTAAAGTAACTTTACAGTAGCATTACAGTATACTTTCTATCTGTTAAAAAATCTCTACAAAATATCTCACTCCTCTTACTGCTTGTCACAGAAGCTACATGTAGAGAAGCAAACTCGTAAAATTAAAATTCAATTCTTTGCATCTTTGCAATACATACACTTACCTCTCTGGAATGACATTTAAAAAAATCTGAACCTAAAATAGAATAATAGTAGAGTATCCATCATAAAATGAGCAACAGGCAAACTGTTTGAAATGCTGGCATTAAATATTTAAACCAGTCCCATAAATTCCTGCTTCTTCTGACAAGCAGATTCTACTGATCCAATGAAAATAGTCTAAGTACACACACAGACACACATACATACACACACATATTTATGTGGGTAGCATAAGGCTTGAGGCTGTTTGCCACACTAGAAGAAATCACCGCACTGATACTTTTAGATTATGTTCTGGGACATATGTACTCCTTGAGAGAAAAAATGACTACAGCTCATCTGACAGACAGTAAATTTGAATTGGCAAAAAGGAAATAAACCCCAAAATATTCACAGCAGTGAAGCTACTATTTTTAAAGCCTCTGGAATTATTGCTGTGTAGACATTATCTATGATCTATTAGAGAATTTACTAAACAACTTCCCCTTCCTCCTTCATTAACCCAAGGAATATCTGCTATGAAAGGAGTTAAGGATGCTATCTGATGAAGGTCCGGGCTTTAGCTCTGCTTCAGTTACCAAAGAATCAAACAAACAATGTGCTCCTTTTTGTAATCAGTGCTGTGTTGAAAGCAACGCAAAAAAGTAAACATTCTTAAACAAGCAGTAGTAGAGTCAGGCACTGAATGGATGAATGATAGAACTTAGCAGACTAATTTAAAAGTGTCATTATTAATTTTTCTGCCTTTATTTGCTTTACAGAAGTTACCCCTCTTTCTCTGTATCATATCCATGTCTTTTCTTGGTGATAGCTTCAACATACGATTAGCATAGATATTTTTTGCTTCAAGTTCTCTTTCTTTTTCCTGTGAATGAAAAAGGAAGATATAACATTGAGTTACTAACATTTCATTTACAAGTCATTAGCCAAGCTGCATCATAAATTAAAAAACACATGTTGCAAATAGAAACAGAGTAAGGCAATCAATAGTTACATCCAACGTTTCAAGGAGAACAATCACATTCCTATCCTGGCTTATGCTACAAGCAGGCAGATAGAGAAGCCATTAGAAAAATATTCAAGGGTGGTAAGAAAAAAAAAGGGAAAAAAAAAAAGCAGCATATGTAGAGTGAAAATAAAACTAAATGCTAATGCTTCCATTGACATGAATGAGACAATGTGTATATAGATTGCACAAGTGATTTTTCAGTATTGTAGAGTTAAGTATTTCAATGCTAGCAATGTTACTTGTCTTGTTTTTTTCTGAAGATAACTGACTAGGTAGAACATAACATTTGCAGTCCTTACATTCAGAATTTGGGCAACAACAGGGTAGGGATGCAAATAAACCTTTGCACAAATTTAGCAACACACTAATAGATGAAATTAACCTTTACACAAACCTACTGTAATGCAAGTACATTAGCAACATAAAGTACTTCATATGCCTGCAAATTTAATTTTAAATTCAAGCCTTCAAAACCTATTTGTCAAGTAGATCTTGTGGTTTAATCTCAATGCTTGGCCATGTACTTGATCTTGTTTTTCTTAACTAGTGCTAACAATAACGATTAACATAGAGACTGTAAGGTCAGAGTACAGAACATTTCAATTTTAGCACGAAAAGAACTCACATGTGGGATATAATTAAGTACACATCAGAGAGTGCAGTCCCTGGTAAACTATTCAAACCTGATTGTAGATACTTCCAAAGATAATATGTCAGAACATGGTTAGCAACTTGTATTGCTTCACATTTTACCTTCAGCTTCTGATTTAGTTGATGAAGCTCTTCTTGGAGAACTCTGTTTATTTCTTGAGCCTCATAGATCTTTTTTTTCTTTGATTGTAGCTCTCGTTGAAAACTGCTACCACTTAATTCAAGATTTTTTTCCAGATCCTTCAATTAAAACACAATAGTATTTTTTTAGTAATTGAATTACTTTAAAAGAGTAATTTTACATTACTTCAGTAAAATTACAATAAACCAATGTCTTGGATCCTGATACCGACTCCAGCATTACTGTAACACTGAATACATTTAAATCTTTAATCCCAACTTTGAGGAGGCAGACAAAGCACCTGCAGATGCTGCAGCTCATCCTTCTGGAGCACTGAGAGGTGACTTGAGGACATAATGGGAACACAGACTACTTTCTACAAGGCTCTTGGCACAGTGGACCTCCAGATCTCCCAGACAAATCTCAGACTGATGGTTAAGAAAAAAAAAGGACCTCACTGAAAGTGCAAGATTAGAAGGAACAATGCAAGAAACAATTTTTAACCTTTCTACTAGGACTAAATTTGTGATTGTGATTTCCTTCACACACCCTTATCTTGCAATAGCTGTTTTAAGTGAACCTGTGATGATAGAAGGAAAAAAATGTAGGAGAAAATCCCTTACTTTTTAGAGCATGATTAATTTTAACATTATCCAGTACTACAAATGCTAAAATACCTGATGATAAAACTACAGATGCCAGATGGTGACACTATGGGGTGAAGTGATTTGGGTAACTCAGCAGTTTGTACCTTGGTATTTTGGGATTTATTTTATGAAAGCTTAGTCTCCAGCTTAATACTTTGGATTTCCAGATAAATTATCTCTGTAATATGATTTAGGTTTAATTACTAATATAGACACCAAACTGCAACACCATTTTAATGACCAACATAATTTTACCTAAAAATAGTATTGTATACAACTACCAACAGTTTCATAGTGCTAACACAATTATTTTTAAACAAGATAATTTTTTACACGTTTACAATCTATACATGTTTAGACATTTACAAAAATGTAAACATTTTTGCTGAACAAAATTAAAACATATCGCACAAAATTCTTAAAATGGATGCCCAGAAAATGTTCTAAAGCTCATCTGGGTATAAAAAAAAATTGCTGTAATTTTGTTCAACTCAGCTCTCAGATGTGCAGAGTAATGGACAATCAAACACCACATGAATGCAGTTCACCAAACTAAAAAATAATAACTATCTAGAGTTTTCTTTGAATTGCAGTGTACAGTTCCCTAAATACACAGTTTTTTTTTTTAAACAAATGCTTCCCCTCCAAGAAGGAAAATTAGATTGCACAGAGTTTTCTTACAGCTGCATGCATTTCTGAAACATTATTACTAGTTATAAAAACACGTAAAAGCACAGCCCACAGTTACATATTGACAAAATATGCTTAATTTTTAAATAGCAATTTGAATGCCCAACTACCAAGTATGTAACTACATCATCACCTTGGAAATTGATGCTACTTACCTGGTAAAAAAGAGAAATGCAAAAAGAATGATTTTCTATTTACTACACAACTGTAAAAAACCACAATTCATGAAACTCATGATGGCAACCTGTTGCAGAATTCCTTACAAAAACAAAGTCTGCTCACCTTAATTCTTTTTTCACTGTCTTCTAGCCTGCTCTCTGCATAGGCGAGTTTCTTTGCCAGGTCATCTCTCTCAGCAAGGTGCTTATCTGCAGACAGCTTTTTCAGTTTCTGCAAGGCAGTTTTTGTTCTGTACAGTTCATCTTCTGAATCTTTCAGCCGTCTTTCAGTCGCACGTTCTCTCTCTTGAGATTTCCTTAGACGCTCCCTTAATATTCTAATCTCATTGTTGTGCCGAGCAAGAAGCTGAGAGATTTCATTTTCTGTATCTTCAAACTTATTCAAGGCTTTCTCCTGCCTGTGCTGAAGCCTCTTCAGTGCCCTGTTTTCTTTCTGCAGCTCATCTAGTTTGATGTGGAGTTCAGTCAGTTCATTTCGGAGCTCATTGATTTTCAGCAGTCTTGCAGAAAGAACTCTTTTTGTAACAAGATCTATATCTTTTGCAGGAGAATCCCTTGTGAAGCTCTGAGAATGGAAACCCCACCGTGTCCCCCTTTTGCTTGGTGCATATTTGGAATCCAATTTCTTTGTGGCTAAGAGAGGAAAAATAAAAAGCATGTTTAAGACAATGCAGTTTGTCTATTCAGACATCCTGCTTTGAATAAAGCTCTGCCTGAAACAATTTTACAATTTTACTTAACAGAGACTGCAGCTTTCCAACGAGACAATAAAAGGAACATATACAACAGACTTATGCTCCTTCTGATAGATAAAAAAAAATGGTAATTTATGTCTGTGATTTACTGGAAGAAATAATATTTACAGCCATCAATACAGGACCATTGTAAAGTAATCATCTGCAAATTGTATCAGAAATGACAGTCATGTTTTGTGAACATTTGAAATTGTTTATTAAAATATTTAAATACTATATTCTTCTGCATACAATATTATCAAATGCTTTTAAAATGGTACCAATTAGCTGAGTGTTAGCTAGTTGTGTCTTATGCAAGATGTAATTCTCTCAGACAAATGCAGTAGTATTTTCAAATCCAGCTGCCATGCTTACAGACAAAACAGCAGATTTCAAAGGCTCAGTGCAGAAAGCCTCCAAAGCAAAATTACAAATCCCATGAAAATTCAGTTCTCCGCTGAATAATTTATTCTTGTATCACACGTTATTTTCCATACAGTATCCTTATTTGACTACTGTTATGCATCACTTGCATTCCTATTTGATATTATTATTAATCCCATAGATAAAAGCTAAACATTTTGTTTTAATCTTATTTGCCTCTCAAGCCACACTCAAAGAATGAAGCATATAATCTACCCAAAATACCTCTTAAAAAAACTGAATATAAAGTACATAATTCATTAAGGTACATCAGCGTTTAGCAGAACTGAACAGCAGCAGCTGCAGGTTATAATTTAGGCTTGAAAGGTGAAACATAGCAATAATGCAGTTACTTCTACATAGACAGTGAGCGTGACAGCAAGTTCTTCCTCCCCTTTGGTGCTTACCAAATAGTTTCACCAACAGAATAGAATAGTTTCTATTCTACAGAGAATATTTTACAGCAAAAATAACAGCTTTAAATATCTTCTTATAGTTTCTTCTAAACATTTTCCACAAACACTAATTCCTTTTCTGCTTGATGCTCATTTTTTCCAGAGTTTGGTCAAACAAAAGAAGGTTGGTTTATTTTGGTTCTAGGCTGTTGTTTGGTTTGTTTTGGGGGTTCTGGGGTCTTTTTCTCCTTTACAAAGAACATTCATGTCACATTCAGATGTAAAAAGATTATCTAATACATGCACTGCAGAAATGATGCGACTCCTATCACTAACGAAGGGAATTCCCACTAACCCTAGACTTGCAGACCATTCAAGAATTTATCCACACTTAGGACAGAACAGACAGAAAATTCCCATACCAAGTCTGCACTTTTGACCATTTAGTTAAATTGGGGAATAGTGTCTTTCAAGAACAACATGATACTCACAGTACCTTCATGTAATAGTTGTGTTCAATTCTGGCCAAGTAATAAAAGAACTAGTTATTCACTTGCCCCCTTCAAATTAAATGGCACAGTGGAGCTGCAGGTTTTGTTTTCCAGACAGCTGACACATGCCTACTATTGAGAAGATGCTGCTTCTGAAGGTAGAGAAGCTCAGCAAAATACCAGCTGCACCATGACAAGGTGCACTATCAAGGATCTGAAGAGTTACATTCCCTGGGCAAATTCTAGATTGAAGGTCTGACCTTCTGGTACACTCTAGATCATAAAGTTGAACAAATGATTCAGATAGCATCAAGCACTTATGAATAAAATAGAGCACTTGCTCAAGTAAGGCAGGATATGCTCTGACTTCACCAGAAAACGTGTGGTTATTTAGAACAAGCTTCCAAAGTGCAGCAGAAAGCCCTCACATCCCTACTTCAGCCCAGGATCTCTATAACCATTCTCTCCCTTTTTGTAGGGATGTTCACTTCACCACATTCTCAATCAAAAAAGCACCTTATGTAGGTGAGGTGTGTGTCAAGGGGCTCAAAGTGGAGATATTTCATCTCAAATCAGAGATGTTTCACCCTCAAGTAAGGACTTCCGAATTTCTACATGAACCTAACTTTCACCAAAAAATTTTTCTCTCTCTTACCCCATTAGTGGTCTTTGTTTATTTGTTGAAAGTACACAATATTACACTGTAAAGCCTGGTCAATGAGACTTCCACAAGAGAGATATCTTTAGGGTATTTTGTCTGAGAAATTTTAACAATCATCTCTCTTTTACAGGCTGCAGATTAAGGACATGCTCTGGGTCCTTGGCCTCAAGCTTTTTGTCAAAGACAAAAGGAGTGCATCCGCATGTTTCAACAAAACACTAGCATACGAGCCATGGCTACTTGTTAAGAAATACATGAATCATTCTGAAAGTCACCAAAAATCCTCCTTATTCAGGAATAGGTTAATTTCAGTTTTCAACACAGCAGTTGCAGTTTACCTGCCATCTGTAGCATAATTCACATGAACCTTATTTGTAGATTCTCCTAATGATAGTTTCCCACTTTCCTTTCAGTTTTCAAAGATAATTAACTCTTGGAGGCAGTTACAAAGCAGCAGTTTCTGCTCTCTACCTACCTTGGTAGTGCATAAGGCTGTTTGAAGTTTGTGTTTTGGGATCTTTTTTTTCTTGGCTTGTAGATGTTAGTGTTGGTGACTGACCAGATGAATGAGATGCACTACCTTCATCTGAATAATAGGAGTCGCTATTTTTATCTCCATCTGATTTTCTGTCATATTCAGAATCTGGGCTCCTTAGTCTTTCTCCCATTTCTCAGATTTAATGGCTTTCCAGATTTTTCTCAAAGACTGTTCATTTTGACACGAAGGATCTTTCAGTTGTACAATGGCAGCAGCTGGATTATCTCCTTGGGTTTATCATCTTCACCTCCAAAACATGAGATCTTTGCAGTTTGGTTCAACAAGCAGTAGTTACCATTCTGAATGCATTTTTCTGTAACAATTTAGAGAGAGGAAAAAGGAAAGTGAGAATTATTTTGTTTAGTTAAGAAAAGTAAAAAACTGTAAATTACACAAGACTTCTATAGGCTTATGCTACATGCTGGGCTACATTAGTCTTACTATTTATATGAAATGTGACAGACACCACTATAGGAATACCACTAGTATTACACTCAGAGGATTGAGGCACTTCATCCCTGAAGGAGAAATCAGAAAATTAACAGTTAAATACAGAATAAGAAATTACTCCCAGGTTATAAGGAGGGGAAAAGAAGCATTTGGAAATCAAAACAGAAGTGAAAGTTTGATACTACTCAGGAAACCAATTTAAAGACATTTGAAAACTTTTTAACCAAATGAATTAACAACTTATTCATGTTACTAGAATTGAGGTATTTGCAGAATTTTACTAAATCTTCCATATCTCAATTTCTGACACTCCAATGATGTCAAATAATGGGTTTGAAAATCAGTTGTCCCATGTGTGTGGAGGACATTCTGTCCCTAACTGCTAATCACAGTCTCTGCTCTAGAAAACACCCTTGTACCTTACAACACCTAGTGTTTCATGCCTTCAGGAACCGGTAGGAGTACACGCATTGGTTTCATGTGCTTTATAGGAAAATGCAAATGTAGCCTTTGGGGTTCTTTTATATCTGTCTTTTTTATTAGGGTTTTTTATGTCTTTTGTCTCTCCCTCCACTCTTCACAGTGCTCAAGCTTATTTCAACATCTTTCTTTCCTCAGTGCAACTTCAAAACATCAGTCCTTTAATGGATGTATAAACAGGACTTGCATCAGAGCCCAGTAATTCTGCCTGCTGAATGACATAAGCTCCTAGCCCATTTCTAAATGGTAAAGAAAACTACACGCAAAAAATTGAGCAGCTTTTAATCAAAACCCCTCTACACTGCAGGGTATATCACATACCTGTAAATTAGCTGTAAAATTTTCACTGTATTATTTCCCAGTAAAATAAACTTAGCATGCTTCTCAGCCTTCTGTTCTACTGTCTATATATGCAGAATTGCATAGCCAAGCAGATCAGAAATGTCAGCTACCAAGACAGTTTTCATTACAAATTCAAGCTTTCTGGCCCAGTTCACTGTTAGCAGAACTGTCTCCAGTGACTGGAATCCATTTGCCTGCATGATCTATACAAAAGGAATTAGAGGAATAAATAGCCCAACAGAATTCTAAACTGGGAAGTTGCTGGGAAATTAATACTGAATTATTTGGAAGAGAGTATTTTTTCTTTACTTAGGGAATAACTTTACAAAATAATGGCTTCTAAGCATCTAAATATTATCAGTTATTGTGAACATTCAAATGATAAGTAACAACTGTTTTTCTTCTCAAATAATGCAGTTATTAAATGTATTTCTTAAGTATATACCTAACCATAACTGTCTTATCTTCTTTGGCTTTAAGACCCTCAGACATGTTCTTGAGCACAAAGCTTAGATCATGTAGGAACACCAGAACGTACTGGGGTGAAACTCTGCTCCCAGACAGCTCCATCCTAAGTCCCAGCTTTGCAGACATCTGTGCAGAATGTGTATTATTTTGCTCCTTGAAGAGCACAACAAGCACAACTGAAATACAGGCAGAGTTTTGGAAACAACCTGCTCTCTAGAGGGTGCACTGACAAACACTGCTTCAGCTCTCTCTACAGGACACTGTCAGGGAATGCAAAAAATACAAACTAAAATATAAACTAATATATTTAATTGTCTAGCATCTAATGCTATGTTTATAACAGACAGTAATAACATGTACTTATTCTGTGCAAAGTATCTACAACTCTTGCAAAAATGCAGCACAGAGGGGTAAAGGCATGGGGTGACTGGAGGGGTGGGAAAGCAAAACTGCAGGACAATACTGGGCCCCTAAGCTGTAACATCTCACCTGTGCTGGTCATCAATGGATGCAGTCTTGGGAGCTAGGTAAAACCAGCCTTACAGACGCATGGAACAAAGAACAAGTACTCAACACACGTAAAGCACACCACATGTAATAAATTCAGGTGTAATGTGAAACCATGAATCAATGAGTAGACTAAACCAGAATAAAACAGAATAAAAAGCAACGTGCACAGTGTGTTAATAAGCATATAAAAATGAATCCAAATGGACCAGAGGCAAGAAAGAAGAAACCATGACCATCCTCCTCTTGCCTTGGAAAGGTTTGGGATGTTGATGTAACCCCTCCGTAAAGGGGTTGCCATGCCAGTTGAAGCAAGTCAGGTTCCAGAGGGAAAGTGAATGAGTGAATATAACACCAGGTTTGGTACTAGAGTTTGCGTCTTTAGCACTGAAATTGTACATAGCTTGAACTGAGTATCTGAACTAAGTCCTTGGTTAGACAGTTCAGATTTTAATTAAAACAACAATTACTGGCTCTGCATCTGAAATGTATTCCCCATTTTGCTCATAAGAACATGCTGAACAAAATAAAGTGGCAGGAATTCAAGCAACCTCATCTGTTACTTGGATGCAAGGCTATCCCAGGGCCACATGTGCCATCCAGAGGAGTCCTGGACTCCTGGAGTGGGCACATCACTGTTGAGGCACCACCACATCTACAGGTGTTAACTTAACCTAGCCCTGTGTGGAGGCAGAGATTACTCTATAGGACAAATATCTTCAACAGTGTAGATGTAGCCAAGATACACCCAGATTTTGTCTGCCTTCAGGACACAGAAGAACAGAAATAAATCATTATGCAGACTTTTTCTTGAAAAGAAAGGAAATTTGAATGAAAACAAATGTGGCTGCCTTTAGGGAAAACATAAATGCCTACAGTTCAATCATCAACATGTCTAATTATATATATAAAACAAGAACACTCACTTTCACCTACTGTCTTAAAGCTGATCAGTTATTTTATAGTCCCATAAATGCTCACTGAAGAGGCAGTAATCTCTTTGAAGACTGCTTTTCATAAATCATTGTATTTAAAACAGACAAATTGTAAGAACTGGATATTCCCTGCTTTTGAGAATATTCACCTAAGCATCATTTTGACATACAGCAACATCAAGGAACAGTAATTTCTGATGCGTTCTGGAAGCATTTTGAAAAGCAATGGACTGAAAACAAGTTGGAAAAGGTGAACCAGTAAAAGTTCCCTTGAGTAATGGCCAAAACCATTTTCTGAATCTTCAAATGGTTTTCAGTTTCAGAAATAGGTAATAGTATTGAATTTTCTACACAAAACAAGAAATCTTTGCCTGTCAAGACTTGCCAAGTTCAGTTTTCCACCTGTTTATTATGTAATTTGATTAACATGAAGAATGCACATTTTATATTGAGAACAAATTAATCACTGGGGTGTTTTGAGTTTTACTTCACTTAGCCTAAGGACTGGCTGGTTCAGAAACACTTTGGTTCATTGACTTTTCAATTGTTACCAACTACTCTGAGCTGATTATAAAGGAAGTTCAACTTCTGTGAGTAAGATCCACAAAGATACCTATTTGCTCCTGGTTCATTTAATAAGCTTCTGAGGAGTCAGACATTAGCAGTGGGTTAGCAGTGGGTCTATTAAACTCCATCACCCCAAAACACCAAGCTCCTCCCCTCAAATATGCACACATGCTTTTGGAAGCCTAATGCGTCAGTACAGAACGTCTGAAGTAAATATGGGACTTGCACAAACCTCAGAAATAGTTTTGTTTTCAGAATTTCATACTCCTTCACTTCTATCTATTGCTATTCCTTACATATCTTGAATTGAAAACATGCGTATTATCACAAGAAAACAGTCAAGCTGTAGGTCACTGCAAAGGATATGACAGGCAAAACAGAGAACACAAAACATCACCAGTGGTGACAGAATACTGTCCCCCTTATCACTCCTAAATCAATCACAGAAATAGAAATCAAACTACTGGATTACAGATATTAAGCAATAGAGAGAAAGGAAAATTACTCAGTAATTCTTCCCTCACAGAACACCCAGAGCTTACTTCTGTAATACAAGCCTTATGAAACTTTTCAAGTTCTTTTGAATCTCAACACCCTTCTGATACGAGGAAACAAGACGCTTTTCCTGGTCACCACATGACACTTCCCGAGTACAAATGCTGACCTCTAACGGTCCAATCAGTTTTTCCACCTCTTCTAAGAGAGGAACAGCTCAAGAGCCAGATTCAGACAAATACAAAAGCATGAACCCAAACTATTAATGTGCTGAACTTATTAAAGAAGAAAGAATAACTTTAAATTAACTATAACTTTGTCTCCCTCCTCTCCCTTCACCCATATTTTTCACATCCAAATACCAGAAAAGAGACTTACTTGTATCACATCAAAATATATTCACTGATGAGGCTTTACTGAGGAGCAAATACTTATTAGGGAAGCTTTCTGCACCTGCTGACTTAACTATATGTATTTCTTCTAGGTTTATCAGCTTTTGGTGAGTTAAAATGCTCTATGGTTTTAAAAGCCAATATTAAACATATCTGACAGTAATATTTCAGAGCTACTTTCAGCAGCAAATCTGAAAATGAAAAGGTTGTTGTAACCCCCAGGTCAGAGATGAGGAAACAGCAGTCCAAACAGGTAACATGCAGGCCAGTTCTACACTTAGGAGAAGATACAATGTTTCTTAATCCTAAATCAAAGAGGCCCATGCCCTTGTTCATATTCCCACCTATGCCTTTGCTGAGTATAGACTTACCTAGTTCAACTCAGTCGTTCCCAAATGCAGCTCTCCAGCTCCCAAAGTGTGAGCACGCGATTCTCCAGCACTGGGGAGAAGCTGTTAAAGTACATATCAAATGTATTATTTTAACGAATACTCTTAAAGCAACTAACTGCACGGGAGAGTACGTTTTAAATGCAGTAACTTAACTCTACAACAAACGACTTCTCAGGAAGGCACTGATCACTTGCAGCCCCTTTTCGGAAGGCCTGCTGCCCGACACTCACCGGTCCGGGGGACAACACCCCTCCTCCGCGGCCGTACCCCGCCGTTGAGTGCCCGGGTGCACAGACTCTACCCGCGGGGCCGACCCTCACGGCACGTCGGGATCGAGCACCCCGCGCCCCCCCAGAAGGCTAAGCCCAAGCCCAGGCCCAGACCCGCTCCCACAGCCCCAGGCGCACCCCCTCCTCCCTCCCCCCCCTCCCCCCGCCACGTTCTTGGCCTCCCCTCCTCTCCCCTCCGCACCCCCTTGCCCCGTCCCGGCCCCGTCACTGCCGGTACCTCCCCGGCGGACACGGTGGCCGTTGCCACGCTACGCTTAAAGGGGCCGACGCGGCGCGCGGGAGGTATTGACAGCGGCTGCCCCAGCAACGGAGAGGAGAAGGAGGCGGGCTCTCCTCATCAGCCATTGGCTGTCCGCAGCGGCACGCGGTGGTTGATTGGTAGAACAGCCGGCGGCGGCCGAGGGACAGCCAGAGGCCATTGGTGAGGAGCTACATCCCGGCTGCTGATTGGTTGAGACCGTACCTGGGAGACGTAAAGGGGCGGGCTCTCGGGCACCCATCATTCCCGTGATGCTCCGGCAGCGGTGGAGGTGGTGCCGCTGGGGACGGTGTTGTATTGTGTTCTGCCGGCTTCCAGGCTCCGAGGCTGCTGGCGGCACCAACCTAGTTTTGTAGGGACGAGTGTCGAAGCGGGCGTTAAGTGCAAAATCTTACCCATCAGGGTCTGGGAAGTAATCATTCCCCTGCACCCGGCACTGGTGAGGCTGCACCTCAAATCCTGTGTTCAGTTCTAGAGCCCCTCACTACCAGAAAGACATTGAGGTGATGGAGCGGGGCCAGAGAAGGGAAATGAAGCTGGTGAAGGGTCTGGAGAACAAGTCTTATGAGAGCTGAGGGAACTGGGGTTGTTTAGTCCGGGGAAGAGGAGGCTCAGGGAGACCTCTATAGCTACCTGAAAGGAGGTTGTAGGCAGGTGGGGGTCAGGCTCCCAAGTAACAAGTGATAGGACAAGAGGCAATGGCCTCAAGCTGCACCAGGGGAGGTTTAGATTGGATATCAATAACAAATTCTTCACTGAGAAGGTAGTTGGGCATTGGAACAGGCTTTCCAGGGAAGGGGTGGAATCACTGTCCTGGAAGTGTTAAAAGCTCTGTAGGTAAGATCCTCAGTGACATGGTTTAGTGGTGGCCTTGGTAGTCCTGGGTAATG